ATTTTATTAATATGTATTATTAATATTTCATTAATATGTATTATTAATATTTTATTAATTAATAATAATATAAAACATGTTAAAAAAGTAAAGGGTTAAAAGTTAAAATATAAAAAAGTTAGGGTTAAAAATTAAAATATTAAAAGGTTAAAAATGAAAATATTTAACTTTTGTCTTTTTGTTATCTTTTGTCTTTAGTGTAGGAGGGGGTGGGGATTTTGGGGTAGCAGGGGGTGGGGTTAGAATACCCTTTTATTAATTTACATTGGCTTTGAACATATAAAATGCAACTTTTCTCTCCATGTAATATATATATATATATATATATATATATATATCATCAATATAATAATTAAAATATTAATGATAGTAAATAACATTTATTAAATTAGTATTTAAAAACATTTATTTATTGATTTGTACTTTGAAATTTGTATTAATACATGTTTAAGTGCCAAAATACATATCAATAATTTTATAAATGTGTAATCATTACACTTTTAATTAACTAAATGACAATTTTATCATTCATAATTAAGAGTTTAATGAATTCTCTATCTCATAATCAAGAGTAGAGTTAGAAAGTAGACATTACATTTTAAAATTCACCTATTTTGGAAGAAACTGAAATAAAAACGGGGACATTTATTTTGGGATGGATGAAGTATTTCTTTTTGTTATTTGTAAATAGCTTATAACAATAAATTATTCTCTATAGTAATTTATATGTATCAATGATTGGTTAATATCTTTTCATATTATTTATACACTAAGTTTCTATTTACCACATTTTTTGTACATATAATTAGTTACCGTCGATTTAGACGTACACTTATTTATTTCTTAATAAAAATCTGTAGAGATATCATCCTTTTTTTTTTTAATTTATCATCAATCAGACAAACATTGCATAAATTATCCACACCCCATCATTATTATTACTCATTTTATTTAATTTTATAATTTTATTTTTAAACAATTCTCTCTCTCTCTCTCTCTCTATATATATATATATTAAAATTTCATTAATTAGATTTTATTAACTTTTTTGAATACTATTTGTTGATGATTCTACTAACAGCTAACATATATTTATATAGACAATCTTCGAATCATTAAACAAAGTACTCATAAGAGTTACTCACAAATTTGGTATTAAATTTTTTTAATGAAACAAGACAAGTATTATTTTTACAACAAATTAGTATCATCTTGCTAAAGGCCATTTTAAATTTACCAAATGCTTACTCGGGTAGGTAAACACCAAGTCACATTATCTTATCGGATAAATATGGTAAGGACTAAGAATCTTACCCGGTAAGAGCGAGACAAGGACCAAGAGTCTTACCCGGTAAGTGAGGGCGACGACTCTTACCATGGTAAGCGTTTACCGGATAAATTGTTGCATACGATACCGTTTTGGTGGACTAAAATCTTACCCGGTAAGTCAATGATAGTGTTAAATTTTACCGGTAAGCACTTACCGGGTAAGTGTTTGGTAAACAACCCCTTAGTCTTTTTAACTTTTTTTTTTTTTGTCTCATTATCAATTAAAGCAATTAGCAACAAAACAAAACATAAACACCCTACCTTCTCCTTCTTAAGAGTTTCAACTCTTCCCTGATGTTGCATAAGAGCTTGTTTTCCAACCCCTGCTCCGTCACCGTTCGGTCATCAAAACAGAGATGGAAGTTGTGATCGTTAGACGTTTCCAACGATTGTAAATCTTAAATTGCAGGGACGAAACGCAAAGTTTTCAACAAACCACATAGACGACAGAATATGTAGTCAACAGCAAATTTTACATTATATTTTAGCTACTTGACCACTCCTATTTTTAAATCATTGATGCATAAAACAAACATATTGTTGGAAATTTGAATGTTAGCAATGCCTACTGCAGAAAACATGGGTGTTATTGAACCCCAATAAAACACAAGTTCATAAATTTAAATCTTGAGGGTAGCTTGTATTTCAATTCATTAATGAATAGCCTTTCTTTCTTTTAGCAATTATGTACATCAATAGTAGTAATGATATATGCAAGTAAAAAAGAAAAGTGATGAGGGTTGTTGATTATAGATAGTAATAAAACATAAGCCGTAATTAAGAAACTCACCAATGAATCATCCTTCAACATCCATGTTTTACCAGCTCTAACAACATATAAATACCAATAATAGGAGCAGCAACACTTCAAGCCATGCCTCCGCTCGTTGCCGTGCGAATTATCTGAAACAAAGCTGCCACAAACTATACATCATCATCACATTCCAATTCACAAAAATGACAAAAACTAGTATGATTTTAAGAGTTACAGTTGATGTTTTTTTTGTTAAAACATGCACCTAGAAAGCCATAAACCTTAACATAGTTATCAAACCTTTCATCTACAGCTAAAGGTACTTCTTATCAAATTTGATATTTGACACGTCAAAGTGAAAACCAAACCAGACCAGCGCAGTATATCCCAGACAGAGGTGGGGTCTTGAGAGGTAAGGTGTACGCAAACCCAAACACTACCCTAAAAGAGATGCAGTTGTTTCTGTGAAAACCCCTGGCTAGTGAAAAGTGCGAGAAATGGAGAACAACAGTTATGCTAATGCTACCCTAGTGTTTGATTTGGCCAAAAGGGCTTCAAAAATGCTAATTAATCATACCTAGGGGACACATTGTTGATCCTAGCGCTGTAGAAATCTAAAAACACATTATTCATAGTCGCCACAGTTTAAGCACCACAATCATTCCAAGGTTCAACTTCCCTTGGCATTTCTATGACAGAACAACTTGTTGTACTTGTCACCGACTCACTGTTTGGTCTCAGATAGAGCATTTTAAATTTCTTTATCTACAATCATATATGTCAGTGCAAGTGCCAGTATTCCAAGTGGAAGAGCGCCAACAATAAATAGAAGTAGAAAGCAACAGTCGAAAAACAAAACTAAGGGCTTCAGGGGTCCCAACATGATCACTCCACGGGCGTAGGATTTGTAATGAATCGACTGCTTTCCATTTAAGGGTTGGCTGGATTCTAATAAGTTCTTTTACATGTTTTGACAGTCTATATAGATTTTTTTCAAGGCAAGAAGATATAATCCAATCTCTGCTTTCCACCCATAGATGGATGCAGATCTGATTTACATGTAAACTACAAGGACATCATCAACGTGCAAGACAATAATAAGCAAATTGGTAAAGTATATATATGTTGCTATATACCATATAGCTCATATATACAAATACTCTAGTAGCTTATGTCCTTGTGGTCAGGTGGGAGGATGTGAGTTTACGTAAGCCATAAGTGAAAGATGATCGACTCTCAAGAAGAACCTTGGTAAAACAGAAAACCAGATGCACATTTCAGAGAGTAAGAGTACTCTAGTTGCACAAGCCCACCTGATCCTCTATGGGAAATCAACAAACATTCAAAAATGTTCAATCTTATTGAGAAAATAATTCCTAGTGTATATCTTTTCATTGTAATGGTAGAAAAGCATGAACACAATTAACGCTGCTTTACTACACATACATAATGAGAAGTGCATCAGCCAGTAAACAAATGTCAAAACATTCAACATATCATGCAGATGTTCATGCTAATTATCTTTGCAATAAATAACAATTGAATTCATACAACAAGATCCAAGAAAAACCTCTTTAATCTTGATATCAGCATATCCCAAAACAAAAAGATGACCACAACTTAAAAGTCAGAACAACAGAGATCAGTATCAATGAAGGTCTCACTGAAAGTTGAGTCACAGAGCTATCGATGAAAGTGCTAATAGACTGGAAGTTTGAAACCTCCTCAATTTTATGGTCAGCATACCAGAATAAAAACAGTTATAGACTTTTGAGTAAGAGACTAACTTACAGGATCCTATCACAACAAAAATGAAGAATCCAAGCACTATAGGGCCCACAGGATAGGAGTCTTTCTTCTTTGTTGCCGTTTCAGGGACTAAACCACGTTTCTTGATGTTCTTCTCGAACCTCTGCACCTTTTTATCTGCAAGACGCTTGGATGTTGTCTACAAAGATTATAAAGCATGATGAAAGAATAAGATATCAGTTATTATACAAACTAAGATTATCTCAAAATGAAACAATAATGAAAACCCCATGAAATATAAGATGCTAGAAACAATTGAACCATCTACGAGTCTCAAATGTTTTAAGTTCAAGTTCTCGGTCCAGAATGACTCAAGAATTACACACATTTGAATAGCAAGAGTTCAAAACAACATGAAATAAAGAAGACTCTCAAGAAACTAAAACAAGTGTGTTACAATAAAATACTATGAGATATAACAGTTTGTTACATGGAAAACCAATTTATAACACAAATTGTAGAACTAAAGAGGAAGGGAGACCATGGAAGTTCTGTCTCCCAATTAAAGATCCATTTGATTATTTGAAACCATTTTTGCAGTGGAACACATAAGCACAATCCATAAATAAGAACCATATGGTCCATATCAATTGAATTGATGTGATGCCAACAATATAGAAAATTCGGGAGCCATAATTACAATGCGAATTCAGAATTCGTTGAATAAACCCCTAAAATTGAAAACGAGTTAGAGTTGAATAGGTAACAAAAACCATCTTCATTTCCTATTTGCGATATAGGAGGGTTGCCACCCAAAATTTTACTAGATAAAAACGTATAATGCTCGATAAGCGTAACTATACACACAAAAAAACAGACCCAGAACAATTCTGTTTTCAAGCGATATCAATCATAGACATAGATGATAAACGACATTCTAGTCAAGGAAAAAAGAAACCCTAACATATCAATGAATATCATAATTATTGAATAGATCAGAGCTACATTACCCAGATCCTCCTAGAATCACATGCAATGTCGTGGAATTGATGAAACGAAAAGCCTAATTAAGCATACAGAGTTACTGATTACAAATGATAATAACAGAGACGATAGAAAACGATGGAAAACAAGGAAAACACAGAGATGTGGATAGAAAAAACGAAAATGGAAAAATGAATTACCATTATAGCTTCGTGAAGATTTGCAGGGGAGCCTTCTGAGAAACCAGCGCCAGCAAGTTTTGAAACGTAACAGAGGTGGCTCCAAGTTTTGCTTTCCTCTGAAGAGTAAATTACAAACTTAGTCCATGTGATTTGCAAATATTGTGGGGTTTAGTTCTTAGGATTTAGAAATTACAAAATTTGTCCCTGTGGTTTGCATTTTGCTATGAATTTAGTCCTTAAGGATAACGGTCGTTAAAAAGCATCTGTTAGGTTCACCTCATATGTCAAGCATGCGAGGGTATTTTGGTAATTTCCTATTTTTTGTTATAGTTTTTTTTGTACAAGTATGTGAAGCATATGTACCATAAACATACTAGAAATTCCAACCGATTGATACCCATAAAAGGGAAGGAGGTGTAGGCGGGTAGGAGTGGTGGGACCGTGGAAGGGGGTGGAGAAGAGGCACGGTGAAGCAGGGGATGAGGCAAACAACGTTAATGAGGCTTTTTAGGAGGAGTCACCGGCAAAGGCGAGGAGAACCAAAGATGGGGATGTTGAAATCGAGTGGGAATGGTTTAATTGATTCAGGTTTGCTTTTTATTTTGTTTTTTAATTACATCTCACGTTTGTACGCATGCATTGGAAGTTTGTATAGTAAAAAAAAAAAACAATAAAGGAATAAATAAAATGATAAAAATACTCTCACATGTCTAACACGTAGAGGTGACTTAGCATGGGATTTTTAACGGTCATTACCTCAAAGACGAAATCCTTAACAATATGTAAATCACGAGGAATATTTTGTAATTTTCACATCGTAGAGATTAGATCCACATGTTTTGTTCATAGACAAAATTTGTAATATACACATTTCCTTTTGTAATAGGGGCCAAATGCAGGATGACGGAGAAAAGTTCACATACGTCCATCTCATCAAATTTTATGTTTACTCGGGTAAGCGTTTGTCAAGTCACATTAGCTTACCGGATGAATATGGCAAGGACCAAGAATTTAAGTCGGTAAGAGCGACACAAGAACCAAGAATCTTACCCGGTAAGTGAAGAAGACGACTCTTACCATGGTAAATGCTTACCGAGTAAATTGTTTCATAAGATGCATTTTTGATGGACTAAATCTTACATAGTAAGTGATGGTGTTAAATTTTAACGGTAAGAGCTTATCAGGTAAGTGTTTGATAAACGACCCCTAAGTTGGCAAATTTAAGTTGACAAGGCTATCAACATAATTTGTATGAGGAGGATTGTCATTACATTTTTCGTCCATGTGGTTTGGTGTTTATGTTGTCTCCTTTTTAAAAAAAAATTAACAAGTTACGTTCTTGTAGTTGCATTTTTCCTAATGAGTTGGGTCCATGCTTCATAATGCAACCATAAGGACCCAACCTGGTAATTGATTCAGGAACTCAACTCGTTACAAACCTGAAACCACATGACCAACTTGTTAAAAGAATGCAACTACAAAGACCCAACTCGTTAAAAAATGCAGCTATAGATGCACGCTTTGTTAATATTTTATAATAGAAATACGATCCCTTAAAAAACCAGACTACTTGGATGGAAAACATATTATTAAGTTATCAATGTACTAAACAAAAAGATTTTTGGTATACTTTTTATCACTTTTGTGATACATTTTTTCTACTGGACTTTTTAGTCAATTTTGTTTCGATTATTACATATAAAGACCCCCCAAATACACATAACAAACCCACATCAAGAAGTTTATATAACCACACACACACACACACACACACACACACATATATATATATATATATATATATATATATATAGACTTGGGATCATGTGAGACCAGCCTGTTTTCGTGAGACCTGTGAGACCAGCATTTTACACTTGAAACTTCACAGCAAAATGCTGTGAAGGTAACTTTTTAAAACCTTCACAGTGTTTTTGCTGTGAAGGTTCGACTTTTTTAAACCTTCACAGCGTTTTTGCTGTGAAGTTTACGTGTAAAAATGTGGTCTCACGAGTCTCACGAAAACAGGCTGGTCTCACGTGAACCCAACCCTATATATATATATATATATATATATATATATATATATAAAATAACACCATGTTGTTTACAGATAAAATATTAGATCAAAACTATACAATACGAAGGATCAGTAGCGGATGCAGAAAATATATATTGTAGGGGACATGATATAAGATAAAATATTCCAAAATATTTTTCCTATCGACTGGATCCCAAGGAAGATTGTTCAAATCAATTTCGTAGGGCATCGAAGGAGTAGAGCTCGATTCAGGTGTTGATGATTTCCTTTTAAAAAATCTTTCCATTTTTTCTAGCAATAGTAATAACAAGATAAAAATCAATGGTTTAGTAACATTCCCATTTGCCTACGAAATTGCAAAATTAACTTAGTATTTACATTTGCCTACAAAATTGCAAAATTAACCTAACATAAGCATTCACCAAATCACCAATTGTGAAGCAAACAACAAAATCAAAGTCATTAAAAATTAAATATTGGAAATCAAAACTTTAGCTTTTTACCCAAATTAGAGTAGCCGTAGGAAGCAAAAAGTGGGCAGTGTTGTCTAGGAAGCAAGGAAGAAGCAGGAAGAAGGAAGAGGGAGGGAGTAGCCGAGTAGTCGCTGTAGCGATGTGCAAGAAGGCGAAAGCAGGAACCAGGAAGAAGCAGTGGCGATGTACAACCAGGCACCAACAGCCGTGGAACTTGGATGAAGGTGAAGTCGTGGCCTCGTGGGATGGACTGGTGGAACTTGGAAATGGTAGGCTAAATGAATTATGGACTTGGTAGTGAGGCCTCATGATTATTTTATTGGGGGCCCAAGTATATAAAGGTAAAGATTATAAGTAAAATAAAAATTTATGGACTTTATTTTGTTGGGGGGCCCAGGATCCCAACCACTTCTACATGCATTCGCCACTGTGAAGGATCTCCAACAAGAGTGGATTGTACAATATTAAAAATAAGATAAAAATCTAACATAAATTCCCCTTGCCTTTATTCTCAACCTTGTGTTGTCCTGCAAAATAAATTTTACAATAATTAAGGGTTAGACCGAAAGATCTAGTAAGTGAATTCTCTCATATAAAATGTCGTACATTTAGAAAAGGTTAATAATAAATTAAATCCCAAAATCAGCTATTAAAAACTGAACGACTAAACAATCATTCCTCATGATTAACTATACCAAATATCATAGTTGTACTGCTATTGATCACCCATTCTTTTTCAATTATCGCGGCTGCCCTGCCATTTCCCACAAATACCCTGCCAACTATCGCAGCTGGCCCGTCATCTATACGCAGATACCTAATCAGATATCGTGGCTGACCTGCCTTCTATTGCAGATATGACCACCAGGTATATGCATATAACATATATGAACATAATAATTAAACTAGGGATATAATTCACAAGGAATAATACTAATAAAATAATCTCATTGTTCATTATAAGATCAAGGTCTGCCCTTACTGGACAACCCTTGGTGATAAAAGCCCTCTCTCCGGTCATGAACTGTCCTCATCGGACAACCTTTGATCGATGAAGCACCCTCTTCGGTCAAGGACTGTCCTCATCGGACAAACCTTGAACGATGAAAGCCTCACCGGACATTACTTAGGCGGTAAGATGCTCTCATCGGTCAACACTGTGAAACATCAATATTTAAACCGGACAACGTTTTGTCCACTGAGTGTCCTCTCCGGACAACACTAAGAATTATCAACATTTAATCCGGACAATGTATTGTCCGGTGAGCATCCTCTCCGGACAACACTTTATCAATATTTAATCCGGTCAACACCTTGTCCGATGAAGGTCTTCACCAGACGACACTTTGTCCGGTAAGAGTCCTCATTGGACGACGCCTAGATTATGCAAAATCCTCATCGATCAAGATATGACCGATAAGGAACTCTCATCGGACAACACAGTGTCCGATAAAAACCCCCTCATCAGACCATGTACATACATAAAATAGCAGTTTAAGACTACGAAACCATAATTTACCAACATCATATGTGATCAAATTCAAAACTGTTTTAATAAAAACTCACCTTAGACCAAAACGCACTGCTTTCTCTTTATCAAGTTTGCCACTCTCTCTCTTTTCCAAAAGAAGAAACCTTAAAGATACATGCCAACCACAAGGGTGGTGCCTGATTGGTTTGAGCTTGACTCCAAAAATCAAATGTACCAGGAGGTCACAGGTTCAAATCCAATGAGAATTAAAAAACTGTAACTCAAAACCGAATATTATAAGCATTGATTTTTTTTTCTATACAATAATTGAAGGGAAAAAAAATTGGAATGTGTTACATAGATGAATATTATGGTCTATTTGGTTTGCAAGCTTGTTTTTGAAGAATTTGGATTTCATGAATGGATTTGAAATTATTGGTATGTTTGGTTTGTAGGATCTGGAATGAAATTGGATTACATTATTTATAAAAAAAATTATAGAAATAATTAAATTACATTTTTATTAATCAGTTATTACAAAACAAATATTTTTAACATTTTTAGAACCTCTTGTATACATTCTACGAAATGCCGTAAGCATCCCCTAAAGGATTTCAAAATCCTATGTTTGTAAGATTTCAATTAAATCATATGATTTCAAATCCAGTCAATCCAACAAACCAAACATGAGATTGGAATGGATTTGAAATCCAAAACCCCCCAAATCCATTACATTCCTGCAAATCAAAGGGGAACTTGGTATAACATTTTTTTCTGGAGAGTTGTATATTTGTGCATCAATAAGACCATTTACGATTTCTTGAAGCTCAATCTCTCATCGAGTGAACCAATAGCCATGAGAAATCAAAATAGAAGTGCTTACGCCACCCATGAGTAGATATTTCATAGTAGCCTAATTAGATTGTACACCTTTCTGAACATATTCAGATATTTAATATGCATATAAACTAAAATATTATGGAACTACAACAATGAGGATCATTTAGAGGATCACATATGATCAATTGAAACAAATCATACAAAAAACATTATTAGGTTTAAGTCCAAATTTAATTTAATACATAAAAACATCCCCTGACATAATAATCTTTATAACAAAAAATAAAGAGATTTTGAAGTTTTTCTTGATCTGATAAATTCTCAAAATATTATCTAAAATATAGAACGATAACAGAGAATAAAAAAAATATTTTATATTTGGTGAAGAGATAAATCTCCAAAATTAAAATTTGGATGTGTTTATTTATTTTGAAGGATGAGAGATAATATAAAGTTATTTTTTTTTAAGAATTGGTTTAAAAATTAAATTTTGTATGTAGGGAAAAGATCTTCAAATTAAACTTTGGATGTGAAGGAAGATAATTTGCTTATTATTATTTATTTATTATTATAAAATTATTATTTTATAAGAGAGTTTGTTTGGGTATTAAATTTTGAATATGAAAGAAAATGAATTAATTAATTATTTTTATTTAATTTAGAGGAGAAAAAAGATTTATTTAAAAATTTGTTGGGTATTAAATTTGAATGTTAAGAAAGAAATCTTTAAAATTAATTTTAAAGGAAAATGAATTAATTATTATTTTTATTTTTGGAGGAGAGAGAATAGTAAAAGTTTGATAAAGTTACTATTTTATAAATATATTGTTTTGGAAATTTGTTGGGTATTAAATTTTGGATGCGAGAGAAAGATGAATTTATTATTATTTTATTTATTTTGGAAGAGAGAGAAAATAAAGTTATTATTTGACTATATTTAGCAAATTAGTTTATAAGCTAGCTAATAGTTGATGAATAAATTTTTATTGATAAAATTAGCTGAATGAGATTGTAAAATGATTAAAAATGGTATCTTGAAGAATTAATTAATTATAAGATTTCTAAATATAATTGAAACAAATATCTAATAATATAATATATTAACTAATACAAATAAGATAATAAAAAATTAAAAAATATAATATATATTAATTAAAAGAATTTTAAATTGATTATTATAAATATTATGATATTTGATATTTTTAAATAAATTCTAGAAAAATCTATTATTTTTAAAATTTATATAATCATTACAAATAATATTAACAAAAATAAAAACGGTCTACCTCATATATACTAAATAATAAATATTTTTTTAAAAATATATTTAATAATTAAAATAAATATATCATTCATATTATTTAATACATTTTTATTATCTATGAAATAAAATAAGTATAATTTTAACTTTTATGTTACATAAACATTATTAAAATTATTATATTTGCGTTTTTATAACTAAATATATTTAATGAGAAAGAAGATGAATTAATCATTTTATTTTTATTTAAAATATGGATAATGTATTTGAGTCAAATCAAGAATATAATTGATTAATTGTTTTCTTATTATGAGGGTGCTCATGATAATTAAGAGTCTTCTTATGTGTATTATTATATTATATTATCATACGTAATCGTATAATATACAATTATATGTGATTGATTATATACGATATAATATAACATTCTTGTTATATGTATCACATATGTATACATCTCTTAATCCTATACACAACCACATGTCTGTATGCAACTCATGATCATATATATATATATATATATATATATATATATATATATATATATATATAATATATAATGATTAGCAAATCCATTTGAAACCAAGAGAACATGAAAACATCATATTAGAATCTTGGTATTAGTCGGTTGGCATAACGAGTTAGATATCCAGGTTAATAAAAAAAATAAAAGGCTGAGCCAATGGACCAGACTCAGGTTCAACTTTTCAAATATCACAACATATGTAAACACAAACACTTGTACCAAAACTGAAATTAAACAACAACCAAACACACATGCAAAATAACCATAAATTTCAGTACCAATTTCAACTTTTGAAGCACATCACTCTTACAAAGGACTAACAGTGCACAAAATCACCATTAAACCTGGATTTACAAGCTTCAAAGCTTCATACCATCTTTTTCAAACTCGGATGCCTTACTCGACGACTCGCCCTCATCTTTCTTCTTCCTCTTCCCCTTGGATTTGATTGCATTTAATGCAAGAACCACACTTGTCGTATCTTGATCACTCCGCCTGAAATGAGACATTGTTCTTTGATTTGTAGGGTGGAACCCAGAAGAGAGCGGCACAGCAACAAAACACTCGCTACAGTTTATGCACACAAGCTCCGTGTAGGCTCTAAAACTGGCGTATTGGAACCGATACTGGCACCCGGAACACTTGGTCCAAAATGAACGAGTCACGTTGCAAAAAGCCTCTGAAAGAATTTGCAAGGCTCCTTCAGCACCAACCACAGTGTTTCTGCCAGCTTGAACAATCTCAACTAGGCTACAGAAATTTTCGCATTTTTTGGCAACATTAGCAGATCCTTCCAGCTTGAGAACCTTATGCCAACCTGATTGGCCATTTACGACTTCCTCTTTTGCACAATATATATCAATAACGGTGATCAAGATCGATATAGAATTAAGCCACGGACACAGGTCTCTTGCTTTTTTGGCAAAAAGATTTGCTTCAGCATAATCTTGTTCCATGAATTTTCTCTCAGCTACCTCTTTGGCCCTGAGAGCTTTGGTCTCGTCATACTCCATGGTTCGCTGATCTTCGATATCTTAAACCGTGCAGAGCCTAGTACACGAAACAAACAAGTTTAACAAGATTTAAGGATAATAATCGAAAGAATGCATGCATACAGAAACAAGCTGTTACCACCTAGAGCTGAAGATCTACTGTACTATCCAAAAACTTTCAGACTCCATAAATGGAAAACCCTAATACCGAATCTAGTGAGAGTAGCAGAAGAATGAAGATGGTTAGCCACACATACCAAGGGGCACTTGATGTTAAGATGATTAGAAAAACAGTGGGCATAATGGTAAAATGTATATAGGTTGTATCTAAGAACCTTCAAATGGCCCAAGAAGAAAAAAGTAATGGAACAATTGTGCAAACTTTTTTAAGAATTCACAAATGAATATACCCATTTCCCAAACTTTGCAAAGATCTAGAAGTAGTATGATTGTTGCATTAGATTCTTTGATTTTCATATCCACTTTTGAATATCAAGCAAAAACCAGCATAATCTAAAACCAATTCTTGGAAACCCTGACCAGATAATTGCTAACCTCTTTGATGATATAAATCAAGGAATGAGACAATCACCTGTATCTTCAAGACGATTGAAACAAAGAGAGAACCCGTTTTCTTTTCTTTAGGCTCCTTCTCGATATGCTAATCAAAAATCTTTTCACGTTCTTATATAAGCGTGACTGCAACAAACTTAGAGCAAAATGACAAAAAAAGACGACCGTTTATTTGTTTTTACCTCAACAACTTATTGGGATTCGGGATTAGGACTAAAATCCTAATTACCATAAATGTGAACCTTGGTTATACATCGTTAATATACTAGCTTTTCTTTTAAATTCGAGATTTTTTACAGTGGTTGAGGATGGAAACAAATTGAAGGCAATTAAATTGGTAATATATATTGGAATGATCCATATATAGAAGAAAAAAAATGTAAGGGGTAAAAAATCCTTTCAGACCAAGGAAAAAAAATAAAATCTAGTGTAGATATTTACATTGAGAAATCAGAAAATCACCTGAAATCTTCTAGAAGCAGAATCAAAGAGATAATTCTTGTCCATGTTTTTCTTTTGTTTGAAAAGCAAAGAATCTTAAAAAGATCCTGCGAAATTTCAGATTAGCATGACCATAACGATACTAAGAGCAAAATAACCAAAAAACGTGACCATTTACTTGTCTTTACGTCAACCACATTCTTTGCACGCAACAGTTAAAACGCTAATCACTATTATTGGTTTTGTGACTTCTTTACATTGGTTAATGAAGCAAATTTGTTGCAGAATTTGATATTTACCTTAATTGATGATGTAATTATTTCAAATTTATTATAATTTCCTAACAGATATGGCATAACACAGATATTCTAAATATCTAGAGCAATGAGTTGTATTACAATCTCAACTAATCTACAACTGGTAAGGTCTACATATATCTTACCGTCCACAGACCCTACAATGGGCAGGATTTACCGGGTCCGTTACATTGGTTATCTTAACTTTGTAAAAAGTAGTCAAACGAATCAGATGCTAAAGGTGCCCCCAAAGCATGATTTATATGTATAACCGTTTGTGGCCCATGTGTTAAGTGCCTTAATACAATCGTCTGTTAACTTTTAGAATTTGTTTGCTAATAAAAAAACCAGCCTATCTACTCATCTATGTTCATGCATATGTTGTCTTTCAAGTTTGAGGATTGTCCAAATCCCAAGTTCTAGAAGGCGAGCCATGGCGCGAGACAAGTCTCCAACGTCATGTTAACCCCTTCCCCATCGTGTCTCGAGGAGTGATATGGGGCGGGTTGTTTTGATGGCGTTAATTTTACTCTTTAATATTTTAAAACGTGTCCTAAACTTTTTTTACCTTTTACCTTTCTAGAAGTCAAACGTTCCAACCTCACCAAACATGAGGCATGTGTGTGAGTTTCATTTGCCATATATAAATATTATATTAAAAAAGAATTAATAAATTATATCCTAGAAAGTAATAAGAGGATATATATATATATATATATATATAGAGAGAGAGAGAGAGAGAGAGAGTTTGTTTCAAATACAACCCATCGCATTTGTACAATCAATGCAACCCAATAAATTGATATATTTATGGAAACGATGAGAGTTCATTTATTATTATTTGAATATTTATAGAAGATAMATATAGTTCATTAATTATGATCAATACTTTATATTAGTAAACAATTAAAACTTCTATGAAATCACATATTAATCAAATGAAATGGACAGTTGAGATTGGGTTGTATTGATTGCACAAATGCCAAGGGTTGTATAATAACCAACCTCTATATATATATATATATTACCATATTATTCAAATGGTAATCATATTAGGGAAAAGTCACAATTATATTATTACCATAATTGTTTAGCTCTTAGGATATTAGTAGGGAATCATTGATTTGATTGTAGTTGCTGGATATTGAATTGAGCATCTTGGGAGAGAACCTATCTCTCGAAAGTAGGTAATTTTGTATTCATTGTTGCTTTAAAATAAACTCGGGATTTATCATTTGCATTGGTGCAAAGACAATATAGGGATCCGGGAGAGTGTCCCTTGATGTATGTTATTTGTTGACGACATTACCCTGGTAACAAAGACGAAGGGAGAGGTGAATGTTAGGTTGGGGCAGTGGAGAGTGGAATTGGAAGCAAACGATTTATGCATTAGCCAAGTAAAACTGAATACCTATAGACTTTAGTGCAATTTCAGCAGAGAGCGCAATGAAGAGAGGGTAGAGGTGAGCATCGAGGAGTAAAAGGTACCCGAAAATGATAGTTTCAAGAATTTGGGATCTATGATTCAAAAAGAGGGAATAATTGAGGAAGATGTTTTGCATTGCATAAAGACGGATGGGTAAAGTGGAGTGCTGCCACAAGAGCGTTGTGTGACAAGATGATGTGAATTTCACAAGGTCATCATCAGACCAGATATGTGTGGATCAGAATGTTGTGCGATAAAGAAAACACATGAGAGAAAATGGAAGTTGCATAAATGAGGATGTTGAGATGGACATGTGGCCGGACTATGATGGATAGGATACCAAACGAGGTTTATCGAGAAAAATTAGGCATTCCACCTATCTCGTATAAATTGAGGGAGGAAAGACTTTGGTGGTTTGGTGACGTCGCAAAAGACCGCAAATGGTACCTGTGAGGAGAGTTGAGAGTATAACAGTTGAAGAGGGAGTAGGCAAGGCAGGCTGAGGAGGACGTGGGATGAGCAGTTGAGGCTGCAAATTTAGGTGTTAGTACTTTCCAAGGATACAGCCTCAAATAGAAGTTCTTGGAGGCAGCAAATTAGGGTAGTAGATTATTTGAAGCACTCTATTAGGTACTGTTATTAGGGGAAGAGAGGGGGGATAGAAGGGTAGAGGGTGGGTGGCGGAAGGTAGAGTCAAGACATGAGTTTGTAGTGCAATAGGATAGATAAAAAAGGGAATCCTTATAATATTCCACGTGCTTTTTAGCTCGTTCAATGGCTTGGCTGGCTCTTCCATTTTTATTCCTCTTAACCTTCAATTTTTACCATTTGTTTCAGCTCTCTGCAATATTATCTAAACTTCCTTTATGATACTTGATAAAACAAGAGTTTTTGCAAAACCATGGCTTCTAGCTTTGCTTTCCAAATTTTTTTTTTTGCAAATCGAGGGTCTTTCTGAAAACATCATCTCTGCCTCTTGAGGCAAAGAAAAGGTTTGCATACATCTTATCCCCCACACCCTACCTCCGGTGGCATATACTGAGTTCGGTTTGGTTTATTGGTCCATTGACATTAAAATTATCACTTAATGCTTGTAACAGAATAAACCTCCTTAAACAACATTTATTTTCCATCCAACATGGGGATTTGTAAATCCTAGCCCATCAACTGATGTAGGAATAATTACATGCATCATGTCATTTTATGTCCTCTGGAATCCATACAGATACTTCTTAACAAGTCTAAAAGTACTATAAGATGTTTATAGCCAATTCAATAACTTCTAGTTTCCTTCTAGGTAGCTTATATTTAGTGAATTTTAGTGCATATATAATACAACTTTCGATCATTTCATTTTATTAGATTCTTGATATAAGATGTTCCTGTACTTCAAGCCATTATTACTGTGTATGAGAGGCAAACTAATTTGGACTTCAAGAAATTGTGAAGGTTTTAATGATATTACTAATTATTAATTTTTATGAACTCCCTCAAGTCAAGAGATCAATAATTAATTAATTATGCATGCATATGCACCAACATTCGCATCTCCACATCCATGAATCTCAGGAGCACATGTATCTTTCAACTTTTGCATGGGAAAGATAAGCAAATGATGATTCTGCAGAAAAGGAAATCTTGTGGCATGTAATCTAATTGGCAACAGATATCCTAAGCAGTTAACGTGGTCGCTTCAGAAAATAGCAGTCAGCACCCTGATTCGAATTGCGGGTCATAGCATTGGTAAAGCGGTGGTATAGCCATCAATCATGCCGCATGATTTATTTTCGTCTAAGGCTAGGATTTAGGATTTGATAGCCATGTAAAGTTGCTATCACTAGTGACTCAATGCTGCATTCATAAACATCATAGACAAACGTCTATGAAAAATTCGGAGGTAACATTTATGTGGATCTTCGAATACTAGTAAAAGACATAGATGTAAACACGTTGAACTAGAAATACAAACTTAAACAAGAACCACGCCTTTTTATTGTGTCCAAATCAGTTAACATGCAGCAGCATTTGAAGCAGAATGCATACATTGGAAAAGAAGAGAAAAAACACCAGAAGATGGCTTGATGTAAGAAAATACACCAAGCATTGGAGAGACAGCATAAATCTCAGATGACAAAACACAGGAAGTTGTCAGTTGTTAATAAAAATCTTGATTATTTCCAAAATTATTGCTTCTAAGTATGCATAATTTCAATAAGCTCAAAAATGGAAACAAAAAAACAGTTCATATAAGGAGGAATAAGTAGGTAACCTTGAAACAACTTAATCTACCAGAAACTTTTGCTCTTTGAACTGTCCACTGGTTGCAGAGAATGCGATCCGAAAATTTTGAGTTTCTAATGAGCACTTCATGTTGATTGAGTTCCAACTTCTTTCCCTTTAAGTTTTCTGCCTCTTGCCACCTTCCTTCTAGAATACATTTGGATCCATTTATCCGCGGTTCTATTCTGGTCTGAAGAAGCTCCAAAGGCAGTGCTGCAGGAACAAGCTCCCAGCAACCCTTGGGATAATTATGAAATCGGTCACCTGTGAGCATAAAAACAGGAACCTGAAGAGAAAATCGGAACTCTCTTCTCAAAGAATTATCCAAGTTTCTGTTACATCCAAATGTTGACGAAACACAGACTTGAAACCAACAACTTTACCTGATGGTGCTACCATTACACCCTCCTCCTCAATATAATCTCCAACAATTACCACCACGTCATATTGATGTATCAGATCATTGGGGGTAAACTCATTCCAGTCAGGGGACCAGTTCCTATATAGGGCCCAAACATCACCTTTTCTTGGGAAATTTTGAATAAGCCCTTTGTTGCTTTTCATACATTGGATCTTGTGTGAGAAACAGTTAAGGGAGGTATTGACTATATGCTTGCCCAAGCTGAAATCTTTATGGGTCTTAGGATACCCTATGCAACCCAATTAATCTCTCCTACTTCAGTTTTGCTCTAGGAATTCAACCAATTGATTCGTATTTCGAATGCTCTTCTAGATATGACATCATGAGATAACACATGGTATCAAGGCAGCCCATCATCATCGTCATTATAAGCAGCCCACATCTGATTTTCACCAAATGCTTTTTCAGTCTTGTCATCATCAAAGTCATGAAAATCTGAATCTGGAATGCTCATCAGCGTCGTGTAACTGGTTCCTATAAGATTCCAGTCTGTTTTTATAGTAATCATTGACGAGATTTCCACATCTTTATCTTTCCTCATACCATCAATTTCCTCGGCATCCTTCCTACAGCTATACAGTGTCTCACTCTCCCTACCTTCATTCCTAGAAACCTTCTCCACACTCCATTCATCCATGTTTTTGAGAATTTCTTTCCATCGTGAATTTCTATATGTCAAGCTATTATTAAGCTTGCCATGTCTACGAACATTCACCTGTTCAGCTCCTAAATTAGCCTTTGCATATGCATTACTACCATCAACCATTGATGCCTTTTCAGTTATATGTCCCTTTAACACAGTTCAATCGCCTTTACAGATCCCGACTCTAAATTAGAGGTCTTAAATTTCATCGCACCTACTAACTCTTCACAACCTCTTTTCAAGTTTCCACTGCTTTTCACAGTCATAGAGTTTAAGGATGGGCCTTCCTGAACATTTAATGACGATTTGCTCTGTGGTTCTGCTTTTGAGAATGCCACATAGTAGCAAGATTGTTTCTTGGAAGAAGAGGCAACTCCAGAAAAGACCTAAATCCCTGATACAAGAAAGTTTTTGAAGTGAAGTGAGAAAGATATTGTCGTGAGAGCAATAATAGGACATGCATTTAGCACCACAAACCAAAGACGTAAAAAATAACGACCACAATAATAAATGCAAATATAAGAGTAAATCAACATCTCGTCTATTGTTCATGCTTTGATGCCCTAAGCGGAAAAATCACACAAAACATTTATGGAACAGCAAATGAGAATACAACATTTAGAAACGTAACTACAAATTCATCATGTGAGAGCGTATACGCCATGACTTGTGATCAGAAAAGGTAACAAATTCATCGCAAGCAAAAGGACTGATAAATCAACATCCCTTCTAGTGTCTCCAAATGTTAATGTGATAAATAACCAGACAGTTCGTTAAAAGGTCATGAATAAAGCCACGAAAAGAAGCACACAAACAAATGATCTCATACAAATTCAAACAATTCATATGTCATCCTATAGACAGTAGGGGACATGAAACAATTCATATTTCATCTGAATCAAATTGTGATAGCTTCATCTGTTGTCATAAGCAAATCATATGTCAAAATAACTTTACATCAGAAAATTATCTCAATGGATTCAACAGATACAGATTAATTAAAATAGTATCAAGGGATTCCCAAAAAGCTACTGCTGATATAAATTTGAACAAGCAAAAACTGGAAGAACCTATGCATGTTAAATCTTAAAAGCACAGTATGACATATAAAAGTTAATCAAAGTCACAAGAACTCTGAAACCCTATAATTCTATGAAAAGAAAATGCCAATCTTCAGAAACCAACAAACATCCGAACAAAGACAAATTCAAAGACGACGTAGATAGAAATATATTTCATCATATGGATAAACTAAACTGATTAACAGAGAAAATATACCGAAAACTTACAGGCAACCGGACCGACGAGGCGCCAACAAGAATCGCCTCCAAAATCGGCTACTTATTTTGCCTTTCTTGACCGTTCCTGATCAATGTCTTCCATAAAACGATGATCAAGCACTTTTGCCCTTTTGCCCTTTTGCTTTCGGTACTTTTTTCATCCATATGTTTGAATTAAAATATCGTTTTGATAAATAACTAGAGTTATACTCTATATTGATCAGTACATAAAAATTGACAAATGAAACAAAAAGATATGTTTAATTTGGCTATGCTAGTCATGGATAAGCAGTGAACACAAATGGTGTCTCGCAATATTGGGCATCGTAAGAGCACAAATCATCTCTGCTCTTCTCTTGAGAATCATATATTACCGAGCTAGAACAACATTAACGCATATAGTAAAATTAGGGGGTTTTGATTAAGGATGACAATAATAAAGACCAATGTGACTTTAGTTTACCCTCTAACATGTATAGGAATGATGATACTCTAAAATTTGGTTCATCATTGTACAGCAACATACAACACGATTTCCTCTAACCTTGTCGTTTTACAGTTAGGTATCCCTCTTTTCTCCCCCAATCTATCGATCCATATGGTTTCAAACCAAAAAAAACCCTTTTCATATTTGAGAGAAGCAGCAAGTGGAGAATTTCCCGTGTCAGAGAGCATTTCGTTTCTTTATTGGGGTCAAGGATGAATTATATCAACACAAAAACTTTTCTGGTACCCATAACCAACCAACTTTCTGAAGAAGAAAAAAATGATTTCAAATCACATAATAAACTTCATGATAACCCAAGGATCCAGTTGAGAAAAGATCAATACACAATGTAATGTCTTAAAGAATTTTACAAAAACGAAAATTCACTAAAACCATTGTACGGATCATAATCAAAGAGAACGAAAGAAGAAAATGAAATCTTTCATGTAGTTAAGTGAGATAGTGCTCGAGCACTCTTCAATTAAAAGAGATATATCATATAACGATTTGAGGGTGTAAATTTGATACATGATATGGATTTAAGATGGGTAAGTGACATATTTGAAGGACGTATCAGTTATAAGCAATCCAATTTAGAGAGAGACTATGAAGTTAAGGGAGTGGGGAGAATAATTATGGAGTGTTTGTTTCATGGAATTTGGTGGAATTGGAAGGAATTGGAATGTTGGAATCTTTGACCAAATTCCAAATATCATGTTTGGTTCACAGAGAAGATGTGAAGGAATCCTTCCAATTCCAATAAATTTCTTAAGTCACCGATTTCACAATTTCACCACATATACCACGGATTTCAAATTCCATCCCTACAAATTCCTTAGCCCTCATCCAAATTCATCGATGTTATATCTTGATTTGCTCTGCTCTGCTATGCTCGATCTCCTTTGCTCGATCTCGTTTAAAACTAGGAATGGTAACGGGCCAGGTTCGGGCCGGTTATTGGTATCCCCGAAACCGATCCCCGATCCCGTCGAGGATCTTATCGGGTCCCCGCGGTTTCCCCGCTTCCCATTGGGGAATCCGTTAAGGTAAAAATCATCTTTTTCCCGTTCACCATTGGTTATAACCGAACTCGAAACCGAAACCCGAAACAAATCTAAAAAAATTACAATATGTTAATTTTTACAACTAAAAGCAAATTACAATTTTTTTAAGATGCAAGTTTAAATGTTTCAAACATAATCGAACCAATTACAAAAAAATGTATTAGATTACAATATAAAACTAAACAGAACTTCAAACATCATACAACTAAAATCAGGATTTCACAATTAGACAAATAAATTAGACTTTTTCGTAAGCCTTATTTAGGTTGTTGAAATAAAGTGGATAAAAGTTTTTAAAATTTTAATGTTACTATTTTCTTTTAATGATATTATATATATATATATATATATGTATGTATGTATGTATGTATGTATGTATGTATGTATATATATATATATATAAAAAATAAAATTAATATATATACACATATCAGGCCGGGCTAGGCCTTAAAATCCCCGAATTTGTCCCTGATCCCCGTCATTTCCCCTATAAGATGTCCCCGAACCCGGCGGTTTTCACCATCGGTCTCGGATTTTTTTTGTCATCCCTATTCAAAACTGCTCGATCTCGTTAACTCTGCTCGATCTGGTATGCTCGACCTCTCTCTCTCTCTCGCGTTCTTTCCATCCTAAAAAGGATTTTCTCAAAATGTCATCTATGTAATTTTCTTGTTGAATTCCGTGAACGAAACAAAAAAAATCCTATTCCATTAAGAATTCCATTCCAATTTCATCCAACCAAACGCAATCAAAAAACATGGTCAAATTCCATCAAATTCCCTCAAAGTCAAATTCATTTGATAAATTTCAATTCCATCGAATTTCATTCTACGAACCAAATGCCCCCTTAGGGCTCTTTGGAGGAAAGGCGGAGGTGGTTGAAATGGAGGAGAATCGAGAGGGAGAAGGAGATGGAGAAAAATGAGGGATCGTGGAAGGGAGAAAAAGAGAAATGAGGGGTTTATTATATTTAAGGAAATGTGTGATAAGATTGTTAATATAATACTTTAAATAGTTGTGCATTAATTATCAAAACTTTATATTTATTATTTTTTGACAATAATAGTTTAACATGTTTCAGAATAGATTAATAAATAAACATGTAAAATGAAAAATTAGAGAATATGAAACAAATTAAATAAATAACTATAGGATTTAAAACATAAATTCTAAAAAAATATTCATTATGTATTTATAATATTTAATAATATGATTAAATCCAAAAGTATTCTATATCTGGTTTATTTAGAAAGTATTAATGAGAATATTATAATGATGTATTTTGTAAAATAATAAATTTTTAATGTATTTTAGTTCTATTATTTATGTTAATATGATAAAAGTGTAAAATGAAAAATAAGAGGTATTAAATAAATTAGATTATATAGTATAGATAGATATAATATAGATAAGGAAGGAAAATGAAAAATGAAATAAATTAATAAATATAGGATGTAAAACATAAGGTTAAAAACAATTCACTTAATATATGATATTTAATAATAGGATTAAGTCTAAAAATATTCAATTCTGAGTTTATTTTGAAGGTATTGATGAGACGATTATTATAAAAAAATGTATTTTTAATTATTTTAGTTCATATATAATTATTTATGTTAATATGATAAAAAAATATAAAATAAAAAAGTAAATGATATAAAATAAATCAACTAACTAATTATAAGGATATAAATTGTAATTTAAATAATTAAAATAATTTGATCTTATTATTATCTTCGGATGCATGGATCGTGGGTGTGAGAAGCTGGTTTTCATATAGCTTAAAAAAGTTGTAGACTATTCATAAAATCTTATACTCTTGAAATTTCAAGATAAATGCACTCTTGAAAGCCGTTATAAGTTGCTCTAAAACTTGTTCATTTAACATAAAAATGAACACCTCTTAAAAATTCAATAATAACTATAACTCCTCTTTTTTAATATGATGTATAGATATAGATAGTTCAGTAACCACGTGATCCAATGACATATAAAACTTTATTGCCATGTACATTCACCTTGATTCAATTATTTCTCTCCACGATAGAACATGGGTCTATGCTTCTACCAACTTTTTTGTTGAACAAAAAATACATAAGTAAGACGTTTACTTAAACACTTACCCGGTAAATGCTTAACGGTAAAATGCAACTCTATCGCTTACTAATCGGGTAAGATTTTAGTCTACCAAAACGAAATCGTATGTAACAATTTACCTGGTAAACGATAATTGTGGAAAAAGTCGTCGTCATCACTTACCCGGTAAGACTCTCGGTCCGTGCCTTCGCTCTTACCAGGTAAGATTTTTGGTCCTTGTCATATTCATCCGGTAAGAAAATATGACTTAGTAAGTACTTACCTGAGTAAGCATTTGGTAAACGGCCCCTAAGATCCACCTCGATTACATCATATATGTTCTCTTCATGAAAGAATAATATGGGTCTAAGTTTGTACCTGAACAAAAATGGTTTTAAGATTTTAAGAATAAGTTTTAAAAAATAATTCATTATGTATTTATGTTATCTACAAATATGATTAAATCCAAAAATATTCAATATTGAGCTTATGAAAATGTTAATGAGACAATTATAATGGTATAATTTGTAAAAAAAAAGACATATTCTATAAATGTATTTATTTAATATATGATTATGTATGTTAATATAATAAAAAAAGTAAATGAAAATGAAAAAAAAAAGAAGGATATAAAGTACGTTGGAATATCTGAAGTAACTCGTCATTGATATCCCTTAAATATAGTAGTTGTGTGTTTGTTCTGTCATGGTCATGTGAAATACATAAATAATAAGATTTATGCTCATCGAGTTCATAATTTTGATTGAACAACTTTTAATAAAAAGTCACAAAACATTTCATACTTACAATTTAGCTATTTAAAACAAGTGTAACATCATCAATACATGCGTTTAGAATAAACATCATGAGACCTCAAGATCAAGTACGACATGGGTCTAGCACCAATCAGAACATGACACGCAAAGTACAATTTTTTTTTTGGGTACATATATCGATTCATACATTAATGATTAACCGAGATGTATATAAAACATTCTATGCAAATTATTTCAAAGGTTTATACATCATTGCGATCACTTAGATGTATGTAAAAAATAGTCAAATTTGTTTTATTATATATTTTTGTAAGTCAAGGTTGTATGTAATTTGTGATCATTTGATCAATTTCATTGTTAGTAGTTGAGGTATACAAGTTGATCTAAACATCCACCATTTAAAAAACACTATGAGGGCGTTTGGTTCGCAAAATGATTTTTGAAGGAATGAAATATGTCAAATGAATTGAAATCTGGAAGGAATTGGAATGGAATGTTATCAGATTTGACCAAGTGTTTTGTTGGCAAAATTGGAATGCAATCTGTTTGATGAATTGGAATCTGCATGTTTGGTTTGTAACTGAATTGGAATCTGCATGTTTGGTTTGTAACTGAATTGGAATGGAATGATGAAAAAGGACTAAAATACCCTTTCTTTGATATTTTTTTTAAAATTGGATATGGAAGCAAACTCGTTCATATTTTCGGTTACATGGACTCCAGTTCCAGATTCCTGCTTCTCGTAATTTTTTTTGGCTTTTGTTTATGGGGTTTCTTCTTTTTCTCTTTCTTTCTGTGTTTTCTCTTTATCGAAGATCCAATCATCGATAAGCAAGCAGTAATTGACAGGTGTGAAATTTCTTGGCTTTTGTTTCTAGGGTTTCTTCTTTTTATCTTCCTTTCTGTGTTTCCGTTTTATCGGAGATCCAGTAATCAATAAGCAAGCACTAATCGACAACAAGCAGTAATTGATAAGCAAGCAGTGATCGATAAGCAAGCAATTATCGGGAAGCAAGCAGTAATCGGGAAGCAAGCAGTAATCGATAAGCAAGCATTTATAGGGAAGCAAGCAGTAACTGATAAGCAAGCATTTATAGGGAAGCAAGCAGTAATCGGGAAACAAGCAGTTATAGGGAAACAAGCAGTAATCGGGAAACAAGCAGTAATCAATAAACAAGTAGTTTTCGTCTTGCAATGATGTTTCATTTTCTTGGAAGCAAGCAGTAATCGATAAGCAGAAATTGGAAGGAAGAAGTAATCAATCGATGATGAAACTGGAAGCATCACGAGGGTATTTTGTCATTTACACATTTTTCGATGAAATGGATTTCAATTCCATCAGTTTTAGAAAGGAATGGTGAAATCCTCAAATGATGGAATCTTTAGAATTCAATTCCATTGCATGGGTAACCAAACGCTAGAATGAAATTTGGTCAACAGAATTGACCATTCCAATTCCACCAGATTCCGACGAACCAACGCTCCCTATATATCTTTAAAAATCCAATAAGCAAATACCCGCCTATCACACAAATCATACATTCTAATTTGTTATTTCTAGAAAAATTCGGTCTCGACAAAAACAAGATTTAGGGACCTCAACGATACATATCATGAATCAAATCCAACAAATTCAGTATATTCCATTCAGATAATGTCCCAAATCAAACGAATCCAATATATTACGAGAAAAAGTTGATACACATTGTCCCTTAGACAAATACAATTTGTATCATGAGAGACAATATCTATTAGTCTACAAAAGAATGAAAGGCACCACCATTTAGCATTAGTCCTAAAAAGCTCCATCTTTGTGGGAACTAAATAAACCAAGCCAAACGAATCGAGTAAATTTCATTTCATAGGTCTTAAAAGTTGAATCTTTGAAGACCTGGAGACGCAATCAAGTGCGTTGGTTCCCGTAGAGTTGTGTGTAGACTCTCTTAGTCCTGTAAACGACCGTCATACTCAACATAAAGGCAATGAGACAAAGTCCCGACAAAATCCCGCAAGTGGTGGAATAGCAAATGGTGCCGTAACAAGTGAGTGCTTCGCCATCCGTGAGCGTGTGATTGGTTCGAGTACTCTGCTTCTTGGCTTCATAGTCGTAAATGCCGCTAGCAATGACACCCGAGAAGATTAGCGAGCCAGCCGGGCTAGCAAGCGTAAGGAAGTTGTAGAGTGCACCAAAACTCTTTAACCCAAATAACTCCGAGGCAGCAGAGGGCACGACCGCCCAGTGCGCCCCATAACAGGATCCCATTACTACCGAAACAACGTAGATTGCCCCAGGTCCGGCCATGGCGTAATAGAAAAGCGAACATGCCATAAGTACTTGAACTGCAGCCATTGCCACCGGTCTTGGGTATGCATATTTCCTGTTGGCAAAAACGACGTATCGAGGGCAGTAAGAACCATATTTCTTGTGTCATACTAGGTTGTTTAACTTTGTCGATAAAACTTGTTAGGTCGTATGTGATGTACATTTGTTGATATATATAAACTTAAAGTCCTGTTAAGTAATCTATTAGGACACTCAATGACGGTCTGTGAACATACCTTACAACAAGCTCGGAGAAATATCCGCCACCGACACGACCAAGAAAGTTCCAAATGCTGATCATGGAAACGAAGATATGAGGGTTTTTGTAGCCTAAAGATTCACACATTTGACCAAGATTATCGATAATGGTCAAACCCGAACCAGAGGCTAGAACGAGTGAAAAGAACATGAGCAAGAAATCGGCCTTCACCAAAGCCTGCATCAACGTAAAATCCTCCCCTCGTCGTGGACCCTTCTTCTTCTTAACCTTCACCGCTCCATCGGCTGCTGCTTGCACCAATCGAGCTTGCAAATGGGAGATTCTCTTTTCCCGTTCATCGGCAGGAAGCGATTCGACTCCATTAGGAGTCTCGTCTTCAACTTCACTCAAAATCACTTCAGTTTTTGCGTTTTCAGTCGATTCTTGCCTCTGATCCTCGCTAAGAAGGCTTTCTTCTGTCGAATACTCGGATTTGGGGGAGAAAAACACCAATGTGATCGGAATTGCAACAGGAAGCAAGACAAGAATCATGAGTCCGATTGTGAGCACGGTGAGGATGGTCTGATTCAAATCGACCAGATCTTGTAGGATCAGAACAGCCAAAAGATAAGCAGCAAGAATGAGGCAAACACCATAAAGAGCTAAAAAACTCATGCCATCGGATTGCTTAGCTTGTTTATGGCCGCCAACTGGTCGAACGATGAACATTAAGGCGGAAATCACGATTGTTGGACCAACGGCCACCACGAAAATGATCGAGGCTTGATCGGGGAAATTGAACATGGTGTAAACTTGTGTCAATATAGCACCACTCAAACCGGCAAAACCCTTGAGGATTCCGACCACCGGACCACGGCTTTTGGGGAAATTCTGGACACCGGAAACAAGAGCTCCGGTGTTGAAGTAGGTTTCGCCATTTGTTCCGACGAATATGCAAATACATAGCTGCAAGTAACGTTGAAGCTTTAGATTAAAACTTCATTTGCATCTAGCAAATGGGTTTTTTTAAGCTCGAACTGTTACTTAACATATCATTCTTTCTATAAAATTTGGATTTATAACAAAAACGATTGTTCTCAATTTTGAAATTCCAAACTTTTCCATTTGACTTTGAAAAGTCAAAGGTGAATTTCACAAGCAAATCTGTTATCCAATTACATGGGACTTTGAGATTCGTATCATAGCTCTGAATCAAAGCTTCTCCTTTTCCCGTAGATACATCTGGATCACATCTTCATATAGATATTTATATATATATATATATATATAGAGAGAGAGAGAGAGATATATATATATATATATATATATAGAGAGAGAGAGAGAGAGAGAGAGAGAAAGAGACTTACAACCCATAAAGGCAACTCCGGCAAGGTACCATTGACGGTGAGCCAAACAAGACCATAACCAAAGAAATTCTGAGCAACTCCGATGAAGAGAACCACCCAAATGGGAGCAACTTCACACAAACTGCCGGCGACGAACCCAATAGCGTCACCGATATCTTTAGCCACACCCAACATAGCAATCTGCCTTTGATTATAACCCATGGTGCTCTTGATCACCGGAGATATGCTGCCGTACAGATACCCAATCCCGGAGCAAGATTGAACCCACATCGAAGCCACAAACACTAGCCATCTATTGTTCAGAAAACTGTTCATCTTTTCTGGTAATCCAATCATCTTTACAACTTGTCGCTCAAGAAGATGATCAAATTTGCATGAAAAAGGCCAGAAACTTTGTGGGCCTTTGAGTGGTATCTAAAATGGGTTGAAATCTTTGAGATTTCTGTGGAAAACGATGGAGGAACTTCACATGAAGAAGGGGTTTTGTTGATTTTTCTTTTTCCCCAAATGGATCTCTTAAATGGATGGAGGCTTTCTTGAGCTGGAAATATATTAATGGCGATTTACAATTTTGTATATATTTTTCTTTTCAATACGCAACTCTTATCGAGTTTGTCGTGTTAATGTAGAAATCCTCGCTTCCATCATTTATATAAAAATATAGAGTAAATTATAAATTTTCATTTTTTTTAATTTTTAAATATTTTTTTATCCATTTGTAAAACGTGCAACTCCTTAAAAAAAGTAGCAGTCATGGCTCCCTCCTTCACCTACCTCCCTCCCTGTCTGGTGATACCGGTGGGGCTAGGTACCAGGATGCTTCGGTATAATCAGCCGATAGAAATAGAGAATATTGATCGTGATTGTTGTTATAATTACTGTATTTATATCAGAATCAGATTAAATTATACATTAAAAATATTAAAAAGTAATTTTAATATTGATGTGTATGAAGTAAAATTAGTAGGCAAGTGTGTTCTTCATATTTATAACGGAATTAGATTAAATTATATATTATAATTTTAAAAAGTAAGTTAAGATTTTGATGTGTATGAAGCGAAATTAGCAGGTAGGTTTGTCCTGCATGTTTAACAATGTATAGATATATTTTTTTTTATTAACCTGAATATTCAACTCGCTATACGAACCAACTAATTCCAGGGTGAGCACCTGTTTTGCAGATAGCCCGGGGCTACAAGGGGATTTCTATTCCTTCTTGTATTTAAATATGATACCTCATGATACTTTTGATCTTTGGAGTCAAGCTTAAACCAATCAGGCAAAGGGACCTAAAGGCTTTCAACATAGGGGCAAGCTATGAGGACCTTCAATGGCAAAAGTTTCTATCTCATAGGGTATAGGGGAAGCTGAAATCATATTGATGCTTTTAAGGCTTTAAGCACTAAATCGATCCTCATGCTCTCGTCTATGAAAAGGGACCTAAAGGGTGAGCTTCTCGGGTCACTTAGTCTTTTCAGTATCTCTCTTAAGCTTCACTGGATTTAAGAGTAAGAGATAGGCTCTTTTCACGTTTCCGATGGTAGTTGATAGAGGAAAAGGCGATACGCTCTTTCTTATCTTAAAGAAAAGGTTTGAGGGTGAGATTCCAGACCCCTACTGATGAAGAGGCCAAGAAAAAATGAATTGACTATGACAGTGGGAGAGGCGGTTTATTTCGACAGCTAGAGCTAGGAGAAAAAAGTCATGGTGGAGATAGGCTTCGAAGCCAAGGGACGGCCCCGACATAGGAAGAATGCCCACGGTGGTTGTGCATTCTGGCGTAACGTAATACGAAGACTTGTGATTTGGCGAGAGTTCTTGATGAGGGTTGATCCGTTATATAATAGAACGAAGTGAACAAGTTGTCGGAATTTCAACAATAAGTTTTGGCTTGATCCAACCAAGAAGCGTCGGACTCTTTGGGCATTGCTTGGGTCGAGTGAAGTAAAGACTGGCTAATTTAAAGTCTTGTTAAAAATAATTTGAACAAGAATTGGTTCCATTTAGTTTTTTATTTTATTTTATAAATTTTGCTCCGCTTGCTTTTACTCATTTTTTTTTATGGCAAGCAGGACTTGAGAAGTCTTGTTAAAAATAATTTGAACAAGAATTGGTTCCATTTAGTTTTTTATTTTATTTTATAAATTTTGCTCCGCTTGCTTTTACTCATTTTTTTTTATGGCAAGCAGGACTTGAGAAGTCTTGTTAAAAATAATTTAAAAAATTATAATTGATTAACAATTTTTTGTTTTTATAGTTTTGAAATTACAAAGTGATCAAGTGGTTTGCAAAAACATGCAGATTTGGTTCCTCTCTCTAACAGCCACTAAAAAATTCCGTTAAAATAAGTAACATTTTCGTTCTTTTACCGATTTTTTAGCTTTTAACCAATCAAAACCCACAAGAAACAAGATTATAAAATCAATTTTGATTAGCTACAAAACAAAAAAATCAATAAAATGATGAAAATGTCTCTCATTCAACGAATTTTTTTAACGACCGCTAGAGGAAGAAATCGAATTTGAACGATTAATTTTGGTTCAAGATTTGAAACTGACGGTCGAACCCAACGAGTGAAGTATACGTATCTTTTGAGAGCTATATGTAACTACAGTTCTTCAACCGCTTATATTTTATTCCAACAGTTCGCTCGGTAGTTCCGTAGCAGGTTTTTTCGGACGTTTTCTAGGATCAGAAGAAGTGTGCTTCTTTCAATCTCCCTCTCCTGTTGGTCGAGTTGGTTGCCCTCCTGCCGTTAAGCGAGTGGAGCGACCTATCATCTTAGTCAGCGGAAATGCTTTCAATTCCATCCTAGCACCATGGCTATCTTGTAGTTTTAAAATACAAGGACTAAAAATGTTATATTCGACAAACCACGTGGACTAAACTCGTAGTTTAATATTATATTTCACCGAACACGTGGGCAAGTGGATGGAGACCTTTGACACCTAACCATTTTCAATCAAAAGAGATTGATCCCACTTGGCATGTTGCATGGTATAAATAACAACGTGGCTACGGAGTCAACATAAAATTAACTTTTAACCAGTTACTTTTTTCGTGTCCATATTCTTATAATCATCGTAAATCAAAACACAAAGTTTCATCACGTGCATTGCACGTGACTAGGTTTCGAGGGTTTTTTTTTTGTTGGCTTAGGTGTTGTTTCACACGTGTCCAAATATATAAATTGACATGTAGGGATAACTATAGTATGCATTCGATATAATTATTGAATTGGGACCCAAAATATTCCATATTATTTATTTGGAGTATTCTTAATTTCTAGAAAGCAACATATACTTATCGCATTTTATTATGATTGATTCAAAAATAAGATATTTTTTTTTACGTTTTTTATTATAACTTTCTTTTTTACTAGAATCTAACATTTGATTATTTCTCTCTAGAACCCAACCTTCTGAGTCGTTTATAAACACTATGAACGTTATCTAGACAGCGTTTTACTGTGAAGTTTCAACGAATTTGAATGAATTTGTATAAATTTGTTTATAATGTTCTTGATTATTAACGAGAAGGGTGAATATACAAAAAAAGGAAAAAAAAAGGAAAATTGAATAACGGTAAAATAGATGAAAATGTTAAAATAACATAAATACGCTTATAACTCATGGACAATGTGAATGTCCGTTTTGGTCCAGGAACCAAAACCATGAAAAAGCGCAAAGCATAACTCTTTTATGTAATAAATCAAATTCAGAGATCAATTTGTAAAAATCTCAAATCACGGTGACCAAATCTATAATTCACTCCAAATATATTGTGTCAATTATTGTTCCATTCGACACATTAATTGTTGCAGTTGAATTTTGAATCCGAAACTACCATCTCTATTAATTACGTAACATAACTATTACAATCAAATCGGTTAGAAACTGAATTTAATATGTTTTCCAACAATATATGTGGTCATGTTATTCTCTTTTAAATTAATGCTAATTTATAACAACTATTAATGAACAAATTTAGCATCTTGTGAAATTAGCTTCACTGTTAATAACATCTGGGTCTTTGAGAATTTTCTTCAAAAATCATCAGTCCAAAGCCACCGAGAATTTTCATGTCTGTTCTCCAAAGTTCTGTGATTAGTAGAGTTACATGCAAATTGACCACCAGACACCAATTAATTAAAAAAAAGACCACTATAATGTGTCTGGAAGGTTTTTATTTTAGAAAACCTTGCTGAGGTTATTGATCAGACGTTATATTTACATAACTTGTTTTTTAAGAAAATTTTCATAAAACATTTAGAATTTTATAACAATTTTATTTAATTAAATTGATCAAAATTAGTTTTATTTAAGTGATTAAAATTTTTAATATAACAATATTAATAATATGTAATTTTTGATATAATAAATATGTGTTTATGTGAATTTAATATATATTGATTTTTATAAACTAGAAGCGTACTCGCGCAATGCAGCGAGATACATCGTGATTTTAATATTTCATTTTATTCTTTATCTCAGTCGATGTTATAATATGGCTTTATGTGATTTTAAGAAAGCGATGATGTTTTTATTTTTGAATAA